TGGAATACTACACCGCTATAAAAAAGAAGGAACTTTTACCATTTACAACAGCATGGATGGAACTGGAGAACATTATGCTAAGTGAAATAAGCCAGTCGGAGAAAGATAATTATCACATGATCTCACTCATACATGGGATGTACTGATCAACATAATTGAAGGGCAGGGGATGGGTGGTGTTTAGAGAGCAACCAAAGGACTTGTATGCATGCATATGAGCATAACCAATGAACACAGACACTGGGGCAGTGGGGGCTTGCCCAGGGTGGGAATGGCTGGAGGGGTGGTCAATTGGGGAAAAAAGAGACATATGTAAAACTTTAGACAATAAAAGAAATTATTTTAAAAAATGAATTCCCAAAATCATCATATTTAAGGTGGTATAGTTTAAAAAAGAAGATAGTATAAGTAGAAAGAAGAGAATTCTCAGGCCTGTACAAAAGCAGATAGAATTTCTAAAATGTTGAAGCAAAATCTTATTCTTATTTACGATGTTTTATTTAATTTATTAAAACATGTATATCTATATATCTATATCTATAGATTAGATTATATATATTTATAGATGATATAGGTGATATAGATAGAGATAGATATAGGCATAGATATATTCTAGCACATCTCTATCAGCTAAATATTATTATTTCATTCACCCAAAAAAAGAAATCTAAAGCTCACAAAAATCATAACAATTGCATGAACAACTAGTAGTACTCAGATATGAACCCAAGTTTATTTGAGTATAAAGTTTAGGCTATTTTAGCAAACTTGACAAAGAACAAAATAAAAACTATATTATTTAAACATTTGGACCCCTCCAGAGTCAGAAACATGTAGACTTTTGTGCCCAGGCATGGCCTACTGAAATATCAGAATACAGACATCTTAGCAAAAGCTGTGTCTGACCCTGCATGACTGACCTAGGAATTGAATCACCATCACCAAGTATTAACTGAGAGAGAGCATCCTTGGGTTTCCTGCTGGCTGGCCTTTTATTGGAAGAGGGCATTCATGGTGTAGTATTGAAGCATCTTCTGAGCCAGACAGATGTGGGTTCAATAATTGTTTCTTCAATTTGTAGCTCTTAGGCCTTAAAAAAATTAAGATTAAGTGAGAAAATATTTGCTGGGAAATAAGATCTAAACATATTGATTTTAGATTTTTAAGCATAGAACTGTGGTTCTGGAACTCTATTTTCTCATGCTATAACCCTTGCATGATGTCGTTTATGGTTCAATCTAAGTCCACCATGTCACTTTGTATATAAAGCCAAGCCCAGAAATCTAAGTCTTTATTTTTCCTACATGCATAGGTCTGTCTGGAGGTATTTGCGATTTATGACCTTTTTTTTTAAGGATGAAGGCTGCAACTCAAAATTTAGCATTTCCTTTATTCACAGATAATGTTTCTTGGAGAAGAGCAAGTGGTTCTCTCTTCATCACACAACTTATAAATTATATTCAAGAATATTCTAGGAGTTATCACCTGACAAAAATATTTGTGATGGTAAGTAGCATATTATCTGTTACAGTATTCATTTATTCATAGAAGTAAAAAAATTATAGAAGAAATAACCCAGCTGCATATTTTACACAAATGATAGAATATTATTCACACCGTAGCACACCTTGTTTTTAATTATTTCCAAAGTACTAAGCTCTAGTAGACAAAGAAAGTTAATATATGTTAATATTCAAAATATTAAAAACATGGGAGACAAGGATGAGATAAAAAATATTAAATACAGAACATTATAGAAAATGAATATGACCTATGGGGATAACATGTGGTAGGGAATAATATTTACTTACACATGTCAACTTACTATCTTGAGTGAGTTTCCAGGCTACTGCACATGGAGGCAGAAATAAGACAGAGCCTGGTGGACTCCCACAATTGAAGAGAGAGAACTAACAATCCAGGGAGAACAAGATGGCTAGAGTTCACAGAACAGAATACCAAATAAGAGAGACCTACACAAAGAGAGAACTCTGGAGACCTTCAGAGGGTCCCCGTGATGTATTTAGCAGAGTATGCCCAGTGTGTGTGTGTGTGTGTGTGTGTGTGTGAACTGCTGAGTCAGAGGAAATAGCTATCCTAAGGAACTACAGGGAAAAATACTATGGTACCCATACAAAGCCAGGAATAGCACCTATGGCCACGAGCCAGACTGGAAAAATATCATAATTTGCCTGCAAACTACTCAGAAGGGTCTTACCTAAGTTGTAGGGAATCAAGGACTCTGAAATAAATAATTCTCCAGTTCTTCCCAACAGATCAAAAACCAACACACAAGATCAAAATGTCCCCAAGAATATATACAAAAGCACTTGAAAATATAAATTTCCAAATATATGACATCCAATAAAAATTACCAGGGATGTAAAGAATCAGAAAAATAAAACACACTATCAGCAGAATAATCAAAACTAAATCATATGGATCGAAACCATCCTCTGCTATCAAAAAAACAAAACAAAGAAAAACAAAAAAACTGAATCATAACTAGCACAGATACTAAGATTGACAAGAAGGACAATAAATAATATTAAATATATCTAATAATTAAGCAGAGGAATGGAAGATATTAAAAAATCCAAATTGTATTTTGAAATAAACTAGAATGTGTAAGCTGAAAAATACATTGATTAGATTATTAGCTGATTAGATATTATAAAAATAAAAAATAATGAACTTGAAGAAACTATACAAGATGAAGCACAGCAAACAACAAAAATACAATTAAAAAATAAACAAAGCATCAGTGAACTGTGAGATCAATTGAAAAGGCCTATGTTACATAGAAATCCCAAAGGGGAAGGAACAAAATAATATTTGAAGAAATAATAGCCAAATTTTCTCCAAATGTAATAAAATCTATAAATCTATCGATTAAAGAAGGGTAACAAACCTCAAGTATTAAAAATGTAGAGTAAATACAACAGACTCATATTAGTCTAAACTATTGGCAAAAAAGTGAAGAGAAAAAAGAAACAAGCTATATGTAGAGAAAAAGAGTAAAGAGTGTAGCAGGTTAATTATCAGAAACAATTCATGCTAGAAAACAGCAGTGAAAGACAAAGAAAGTCATCCTAAAATTCTAAGTCCAGTAAACATAAAATTATTTTTCATAAACAAAGGCAATGTAAAGACTTTTCAGCCATACAGAAGCTGAAATATCCCATCACCAGCAGAACTGCACTATAAGAAATGTTAATGGAAGTCAGTCAGCAGAAGAAAATGATACCATATAAAAATATAGGTCCACAGAAAAGAATGGAAATACTGGAAATGGTAACTACAAGGACAATTAAGTACACATTTTCTTTTAAAAAACACTCTTTAAAGGAAAATTTGATGATTTAAACAAAAATAGTAACACCTGTTGTGAGATGACAAGTTAAAGTTATCTACACTAATAAAAGACAAACATGCAAATTGACCATGCCTTTGCTATGCCTTAAGCCACGCCCACCAGCCAATCAGAGCAACTATATGCAAATTAACCAAACCAAGATGGCGGCC